ATTAGTCTACATGAATCGGTTAATTTTTACAGTTTATTATTTCACTCATTAAAAATTAAAATAATTAAAGGATTTACAATACAATTGATCAACAATTAATAATGTATGTATTCTATGAATACTCGTGCGTATATCCAATCTATTTAAGTTGTTTATTCTGTGAATCTAATAATAGAAAATACTTAAAATTAAAATTAAAATTAAATAATAGTATAATACAAATAATATTTATAATATAAAATACTTATAATAACTTATTACTCCTCTTGTTTATAATAATATTATTATTTTTTTTATATATTATATATTATATACATTGAATGATTTTATTGTATAGATCAATGTAATTTGCGTTACCTACTTCAGTATTTTTCAATTGATATAATTTTATTTATAGACATTATAATAGACGAATACAGCCATGCAAGTTACACAATTCGAAATTTAAATTGATATGTTGGGTATCTGAGTATTATAAGTTATCATGAATTTATATAAATAATGATAATAATTTAAGACTATGGCTTAATTGGTTATGGATTTTTTTTTCATTTCACGTACCTGACATGTATATTAATATGTACCTAAGTAATTTATTATTATTATAGATATATTAGACGGATTGTGTTGGATATTGTTATATTACATATAATTATATCATAGATTAAAATAATATACGTTGGTATAGTAATTAATCTTTGATTACAATTTATCCAAATATAGACTCATACCTAGTAATTATTGTACTCACATTCTGATGTAGGTACTTACTGCATGTCTCGTGCGTGTAACTTGTTGAGCAAAATCGATTTGTATGTTGAAATAAAATATAGTGCCCGTATGATATAGGTATTATCTATCTTTGAGATTTGCCCGATTTTAGTAATATTGGCTTATAGATTTTATCGTCAGATTTACAGACACCTCTTTGTAGCTTTTTATTCCACAACTAGCTCGGAAAGTTTCAACATTATAAACGTATAGGCATGTTCATTGTTCACTATTATAATAGTTTTTATTATGTAATATGTTGTGTCGTCTTTTTCCCTTTCTTTTTCGCATGGGCTGAAGTATGAGTACGGTCGGTACATAAACAGCGTGTGAGCGCGTCATTTGTAAGTAAGATATGATAGTCGGTACCTTCAAAATGAACTAATATATTAATATTTAATGTAGGTTTGCAATTTAAATTTATAATGTGTGGTAGGTCTTCTGCAGAGAACCAACTTTTAAGAAGGAATTCGGCGTAATAGTGTATATTTATGTCTATGAAGTTTAATGCGTCGGTAATATAATATGTGAGTGGAATAGTAGGAGGTACGTTTGAAATGATAACACGTTTAGTTTGATTTTCTAATCTACATATTATATTTATGTTGTCATTATGATTTATCAACTTTTATTGTTGAATAGCGATTAATGATGTCATTAACTATATTTGAGTTGGCGAAGTTGACGAAAAAACGATTGTTTGAAATTTTTGAGATAAATTTGATGTTTGAAGGATGTTTTGTAATTAGACTAAACATTAGGACTTTTAATATAATATTCAATTTGCGCAATACCGTCGTTTGTGTTAAAAATAATGACTTGGTTCAATAAAGGTTTGCTGGAGTTTCGACAGAAGTTTTTTGCAAGAGATTTTTCATTTTTAAGTGTAATTTACTGGTATATAATAAGTTGAGTACTTAAGAGGACGTGATACCTGCATGTGTTGTCTCTGTCTTACAAGTGCAAATTTTACGCTCAGCAGAACACGTGTAGTTCCGTTAATTTAAAAATTAAAGTGAACTGACATCTTATAAAATCTAAAGGTAAGATTATTACCTAGGCAACCTCATAGGTTTTTTATTATATTTTAATTTTAACGCGAGTTATAAGTATTTTAAGATATATAAAAAATTTACAATTTTAAAATACTCGCGTTAAAATAAAAATATAATAAAAAACCTATGAGGTTGCCTAGGTAATAATCTTACCTTTAGATTTTATAAGAGGTCAGTTCACTTTAATTTTTAAATTAACGGAGCTACACGTGTTCTGCCGAGTGTACAATTTGCTATGTTACGCACTTGTAAGACGAAGACACCACATGCGGGTATCACGTCCTCTTAAGTGTAAATTTGTTTGTGGTTATCTTAGATGTTACATTTGATAACGAGAATCTTAAAAAGGAATGCGTCATAATTAAAATGTTAAATGCATTCAACGTTGTCAGAACATGTGAGTACTGTGCAATTTTTAAATTTGAAAAAATTGTATAAAAAATAAATACCACAGAACAAAAAATAATCGTCAGCGAAATATAAAGACTGTCTAAATTACTTGGTTTAAAATTAAAATACCAAAAATAAATAAATCTTTTGTAGTGCCCTAGATAATCTTTTTGCCTTTAAATTTGATAATAAGTATATTCACTCTAATACTAAAAATAACAGAGTAAAATAAATTATTTTTCATGTAACATTTGCACATGTGACTACGAATGTGGGCATAACGTCCGTTTAATTTAAAAAATCCTCCCAAAAAAATGAATTCTAAAAAACTATAAACGCAAAAGCTTAATAACGTTTGCATTCTAAATAACAATGAACACAATAGTTTTAAAACTTTAAGACTGAATAAAATATTTTTTTAAGTGCAAGTCCTGGACGATAATAAGACCTAAGTTGCATGTATATACACTTTTGAAAACATGGAAATACTACGGTCATTGATTAAATATATATGTATATTTAATCAATGCTACGGTACTATCGCATATGCGATATACCTATAATTTGTGCAGAGAGCAGTGGGGGAGGTTAAATTTTTAACATCATACAATTACGGAATAATAATATTAAATAATCAAATTATGTATTAAAGTGGTTCTTACATATTAGAAGACTTTTCTGATTGAAGATTTTTAAAAATCATGGACCCTCTTCCAATTTTCTTTCGAATACCTTTTTTTCCAAAATATATCTAGTGTAATCATAATCAATATTTTAATACTTATTTTATATTACAATAATCATATAAGTAGGTACATAAAAACATACATGTATAACTCTTTTTACTACATATAATTGTTCATAAAAATGTAATTTTTTTTTAATAAAGCCGCCGTGAAATCCCGACATAAGTGTCGCGCTCGCGGACCCCCTAGGGGACGGTAGACTACGGTTTAAGAACCACTGATATAATATTGTGTTTTCTTCCTGTAGTTGTATTTCTAATGTAATACGCGTATAACAGGTATCTAGATGTATACGGAATGATAACAGTCTAGTGTCCTGCAACAGTGTTGCAGTGACTATATCATGGGCCACGGAGAACTTTTTTTTGAACAAATAATGATATTTACAATCTATTATCTTATTTGTATACGTACAATAAGTAACTTTAATAAACTTTTTTTTTAATTAATGAATCTCAGAAACTATACTGGACCTCACATGGACATTTTCTCGAGGTATGGTCTGTGGTTTTTACTTTTACATATTAACAGAATATGATGATTTGCATAATATGATCATAAGTCATTACTAGTAATTCAGAGTTATCGAGGAAAAACATTTGTGTCATTTTTAGTTACAGTTAAGCTTATAAGTCTCCATTTATAGACTTGAGTCGTCATGAAACATAATAATGGCATAATATATTAGAATATTACCATTAGATACGATAAATAATGCATCTGACATGTACATACAGCTAACAGCTATACAGGATACAGCCATGCAGTGATCTAGGTTTTTTTTTATACAATTAACTTAATAATTGTGTAGGTAGGTCGTAGGTTTACGTCAACCACACAATCGCATGCATCAATCAATGGTCTTCATAACGTTCATTCCGCATCGACATCGTTACAGCATCATTTACGACATTTCATTTCTAAATCGGTTATTGAATTATGGTTATGGTTTATTCGTCTAAATGATTAAAGTCATCAAACTTAAAGTACTTAAAACTACAGCTGTATCTGTGTGCATGAAAAATTGACGTATGAAATAATACATGTTGTGTTTAGTATGGTTATAGTTGAATTATTAATTGTTTGGCTTATAAACATTTTGGTTAATAATAATTTTTTTTTTTTAATGTACTCGTTGAAATTTCTTTGGAAAACAATTTTACCTTCTAGAGATTAACCTCCCAGTAAGAAAATGTCACATAGGTACGTATAATATTATGTCGACCTTATCTTACCAAACATAATAAATTTTATGTTACAAAGATTTCGTCTTACTCAATTATTTTTAATGATCAGATTGACATATTATTCAATTGAATGGTTAGAATATTATCTAGGGCACCTCCTAGGACTTTTTAAATTTTAAATCAAGGTATACCATTTTAAAATTTAACTTTCTTACAATCCAAATAATACAAATAACAGAGTAAAATAGATAGTTGTTTACAAAATATGTGCTATTTTATGCTTCTGTAAGACGGAGGCAACACGCGGATATGACGTCTTCTATTAAGTAAGAAAGGAATAACAAAAATAAATTACTTAATACTTGCAGAAAGGTGAATACTTCAATATTAAAATAAATTATAAGTATATACCTACACCTAATACCTGATGATAGACGATAGGTCGATAGATGTTAGAATTATTGTAATCAACACTGTAGGTAATGCTTATACTTTATATACATATTTTATCGTTGTTAACATGTTTACCATGATCAATACTATATAGACATAGACTTACCGTATGAAGCAAAGAAAAATGTAATGGCAATTTTCCAAAGTTAAGTCACCCATATCGGAGTCGAGACGTACAAGTCAAGATGAGCGTGTTAGCTGGTCGCCTGTGGGTATATATAAGTCGATGTCGTGCCTCCTCTTTTACGTGTTTATGCATTTTCAGTTTTTAGTTTTTACCGTCTCAACGTGTAGTTGCGTAACCGGTACAGCTCGTCGTCTTCCCCTTCTATGCCGACGGCGGCGGCGGCGGCGGCGGTGGGTGCCCGGCTGACGGACGTTCCCGTTCCCGTGCTTAAGATCAGTTTACGATCAACGGTCGGTGATCTCTGACATTGACATACCTTGTGTCTTGTATTATATTATTATTATTATTATTACTATTATTATTGTTACATCCGTTCGTACCACGCGGAATGTGCGGCGCGCAAGACTGAATTGAAAAACGGTCGACGAGTACACAGCTGCTGCATGCGGTGTACGATAAAGTAGAACAGACTGATCGTGTTGAAGAACAGGAGAGATCCCTGTTCTCAATTTGGAGTACGCTTTCCGACCTTGCGTCGTCGACATGGGCCGCAAAGATGAGAAGAAACCGTTGTTGGCCAACAGCAACGGCGACAATTCCCGACCAGAAAAAGAAAATAATGTTAACCGTTAACGGAGCCTGGTGAGTACCTGTGCCCTGCACAGTTTTTAACGGTCCTCTAGCCTAGGATGAATGATTATCTCTTAGAGAAGACAAGTGTGGTTGGGTTAGGCTCGTTTAATAGTATTTAGATTCTAGATAGATGCCTTCGGTTAAATAATCCGAAAGCAAATACTCTACAACTCTAAACCTATCCGTTAATAAAGCACCAAAATCAGGTCGAGAAATTTCGGGATCTCTTTTCCGCACTGAACTGTGTCGGAGACTTTGATCAAATATAGGATACATAAACATATTGTACTTCTAGGAGGGACTAAACTCTAAAAGGTTGAGTTGATGTCGTCAACTTCTATTAACCACAACATCACAGTCTAGCGGTATATTATGCTATGTAACTTGTACCGTAAACGCACAGTATTTCAGCAGAACGTTCATAAAATCGAATATACGAGTACCTATAAATTACAATATAGGTAGAAGAATACTTACAGTGCTGGCAAATACGAGTTTCTAATTTGCGGTGTACTTGTTCAGTACAGTATTACTGTTATTTTCCTTTTGGAAAAAACCTTATGTTTATACTTTATAATTGGATAGCAGGATAGGTTACAGGATGCAGAGGTAACTTACCGTCGACTATTGCTTACACTTCAATATGTCACTATAAAAACTTACTGCACCATGTCTCTGTATGATTGTTTGAGTTTAGTGATAAAAATGAATAATACACGTCGAAAACGTAAACCGATACATAATTGTATGCTGTTATGATGTATTTAATAGGCCTAAATCCCAATAGAGAAATTAGGAAGTACAACTGTACCAATACAATATATTACAATGAAACTAAAAAACAAAATAATGTTACTAGAAAATAAATGTAGGTACAACTCATGGCCCAGGTGTATGTTCATGTCTATGGAATGGATGTAGTCGTATTATTAATAGAACTAAAAAGTAGAATAAAATAAACGTGGGAACGTGTGAAACTGAAAGGAATTTTAAAATTTGGTGTGAAGAGAAAATACGGAGAATCTATACGTCCACTCGTCAGCCAGGAGTAGGAACTAAGTTGTCTTTGTATACTCTTTTACCCACTGAGGATGCAATATTGAGCTTAAATACAAGTAACACGGTAAAATCCAGTTCCAAAATTGCCACCTAGAAAATAATGTACTCATATGTAAAGGACGTATTAAGCTGTCAACTGCATACAAAACTTTAAATGAACATTTTCTGCGGTCTTATGGAGATTCAATTAGGTGAAGTTGTTTAATTTTAATATGAAATTGATTTACCACTGTTAAATAATATACATTATACTTACCATAGTTTCATGTTAAATCTACTATAGCCGGCAAAAATAACTCAATATGTAGTTCAACTACTTTTTATTTTTATGACTTTACATATTATTATATGTATTGTGCTCTTTATTTAGTACAATAATACTAGTTCAATAAATATATTTTTAAATTATTCCAAATTTTAAATAGACATTTAAAAATATTTCGTTTATTCTCTAATGCAACTGTAAATATTAATCCTATATAAACACATGATCTGTGTGTAACAAAATAGTTCCTAGGTAGTGGAGAAGGGGTGAAATATTTTTTACTTAAACTTGACTATTTTCATACAACTAATAATATTGAAAAAAAATCGAAATAGATCTCATTATATTCACTATTGAGATTTAAATAAATACTCAGATTTACCATACTTTATTTAAGTACGAAATTTAAAAAAAAAAGTTTTTACACATTCTATATTTCGGATTTTAAACTATAGAAAGTTTACTTTTGCCTAATTTAGATAATACATATTCTTTTGAATCGAATTTAAATAACCTAATTATAATCATATAGTTATATTATTCGTGATCCATACAATTTAATGTTTTAATTTTTACCTAAGAGCAACTAATCATTTAGTTAAAGAAGGAAAAGAGAAGGAGTTATCTCAGCCATTAACTTACTATGTTACAGAAAAATCTAATTATAGGGTCAAATATAGGAAAAAGTCATGGTTGATAACTGATGATTAATTAAAGTATATTACCATATTTATATCAGCGAGTAAATCATTTAAACAGTTTTTGTTTAATTCGAATAACGAGCACGTAAATTACATTACCATTTACCTCTGTAGACCGTAAATGTATGTTATTATTACATCAGAAGAAAATATTTTGCTGATCAAAAAGCTATAATTCAAAATTTGATCTTATCAAAATGTACACTTTGGTCGACAAAATTGAGAACCTATTACCCGTAATCAGTAATCAGTGTAGGTGCTACTAAACTGCAGGAACCACTACTATAGACTGGGCTCGATATACATACTTGAGTATTATTTATTACGATGGAAGATAATACTGTACCAATATTATTATTATACATTTGAAAGTGAAGATAAATTTCATTTGATATTGTTTTCGAATAAATGTCAATTAAACTGAGCTTGTTGACGTTTCTCCGATTTATTTTCAAATAATTAAATATATTAAATTGGCTATGGCCGGATTAATAGTTTTTCCTTACACTAACGAACATTGCTAAGGCGATCAAAAAATGACTTTTTCTAAACATAGACCGTATTGTTTGCCACTGGTAGATAATTGTTTAATAGTCTATTTGAAACCTTTGGAACCAATAGTATTGAACAAGACAACATTGTTAGATCGTTGTAATTATGTTTTTGCTTATTTATCTATAATTTATTCAGTTTCATAGTTGAAAAATGATTTTTTAAACCTCTATAAATATACCATGATGACTATATTATATAATGTTATTACAGTAGTTACTAGTTTTGCCTAAAGGTTAATAATCGAAATCAATCATTTCTTTGGAAATCTCATAATATCGTATTAGTTGCATCATGACCTTACGCCGGTGCATTTATTCTTGAATTAAAAATGCGTAACGACTAATTTACATATGCGTTGAGCAATGTACTTCTGTCTATCCGTTGTATGCGTGATTAAAATATATTGAAATAATATGAGCTACGACTTAAATACTATGCTCGTAAACAGTCTACTTACTTTTATCGACCTAATACTAATAAATAATCGGGTAAATAATTTATATTAATAGCGCAAGCGGAGTATACCTAATATTATAATACTTCTAAACAACGATAATAATTATGATATTAGGTATGTTGTATGTACGATGTATCTACAAACGAATATGATAATTTTGTATGATGCGTTTGTTGGCGTCGTCTTCAGTTCCTGAATGTGTTTATTGATATATTATATTATAATTAACACACTTTTCAGTTTCCACAACTAAACAGATAAGTTCACCGCTATTAGAACTCAATAATGCAATAGTGCACGTGTTTAATTAAATACATGACTTATCTTAAAGTAAACATAAACAAATGAAAGTACTACTAAATGCGAATATTCAATATAATTTTAACGCATTCTACATAAATAAATCTGCATAGATATATATATCGAAAGCTGAAGTACATGGCAACAACTCCTATGAGCATTTGAACCTCAAAATTCGTCGAAAACATGAAAATGTGCAAGATTGTTTTTCATTCGAAATTAATACAATTTTCAACTTTTTTAACTCAGCCTTGAATATTTAATACAAGTTTCATCATAAGTTGTTGAGTAATTATTTTCATAGAAACCTCAAAATCTCAAAACGACTTATATTTTTTTTTAGGCATTCAAGTTATTTTTACGAAATTCGATATTTTTGACGACAAAATAACTAGAATAGTTATTTTTCGAACATTCGTAGGCACGTGAAACTTATATTTTTTTAAGTTTATTAATACTTACTATAGGTACTCAATGACATTTTCAAATTATTTATATTAGTTTTAAGCTATATATTACCAACTGTTCACACCATTTTGCGGTACCACAGTATTCGCTTATAACAATTAATAAAAGTTATTGGACAAATTAGATCTTCCTACGGTATTACCAATAGAGAAATAAATCACTAATATCAATGTAAATAGGTATATATAATATTTCTTTAGAACTGTCTCCGATCAGAATCGTTTTTCATTGTATGCAATGAATTATCAATGAATTAAAATTTAACACATCCATTGCAGTGACCAGCCCTTCAATGACGACATACACTCACACATATTCTACAGCAGACTGCAGAGTGACTTTCCATTTGTATTAAATTTAAAACCAACCAAAGTGAACTGAGTTCAGTGTTCATAATTTCAAAATTTCCTTAATTTAAAAGGTTTTTTATTTTCTAATTTTTCCATCACTATTTTATGTTTTCTAGTATTATCGAAATCAGACGGCAGACGACGCCACCACCTTTGCGGCAATCATAGTGCACTAACTATAGAATTATCCTCATGATGACTATATAGGTAGACGGAGACTCGCTCCTGATAAATGATATTTTCTAAGTTGCAAATTCCCATAATAGTTGAATATTATGTATACTCGTTCGTATTCTTTGAAGTCTTCACTCTTTAATCTTACGTACTATGATAATGATATATGCGAATTGATCGACGAAAACGGGTGCATAGTAATATAATACGACGCCGAGCGAGTTATGACTTCCCATCATTTGACATTTCTGATCCAATGTCAATTGATACTTTTAAAACATAGCCTAAAGCTTGACGGGCATTTCCCCTCTGTGGTGGCGATCGGTCGAGCAAACCATTACAATATTGAGATACAGCGTGTATTGGTTTACACTGTTTACAGGCGGAGGGCCTGTAATGCTTTGCTATGGTTTCCACGATCACGTAATTTCACATTTTCATTTATCGATTGTCTAATATAGTGAGTGTTTGTATTAAAAGTTTCTCAAACATCGAACAGCGTTTGTGCAAAACCACGAACGTCATTGTTTCAGTTCTATACTCAAGATGGAAAATTAAAAAAAAATTAACATGAGTTAATCGACTTATAATTTAATAACTAACAAACGATATAGTAAATTATAAAAGTTTGAAGTTAATATGGGGAAAAATATTAACTCAACATAATCAAAAAAAAGTTA